ACAGAGAGACTGTCTGTTCTGGGTGAGTACACTATGTTTACTGTACAGGGTTTATGCAGCTTGGGTTTGGGCTAGGTGGGGGTGTTATGTTTCTGTGCTGTGATGGGTCTTGCAGTGTGGATTTAAAATGTGAAAAGTAGACTGTAATATTAAATTAAAATTAAATGTGAAAATTAGACTGTAATTTTAAAATGTAAAATTTATAGAGACTGTCTGTTCTGGGTGAGTACACTATGTTTACTGTACAGGGTTTATGCAGCTTGGGTTTGGGCTAGGTGGGGGTGTTATGTTTCTGTGCTGTGATGGGTCTTGCAGTGTGGATTTAAAATGTGAAAAGTAGACTGTAATATTAAATTAAAATTAAATGTGAAAATTAGACTGTAATTTTAAAATGTAAAATTTATTTATTTATTTTTCCATTCTATGGCTCCTTGGGTTTGTGTACTGTGACCTCTCTTTGGTTTTAAAATGTGTGGGTTTAAAATGTGACTCCAAAGTCTTTTTGTTTTAAAATCAGAACATTTTGTACAAGGGTCTGTGGTAGCTCCATAGTACAGAAATTTAGCCTTGCAGCTCTTAAATGTTAGATGAAGCATTAAACCACTTTGAAAATGGGAACTTGTTCATTAAACCATGTAGGCATTCTAAAAGAAAGCACATAAAATGTTGAGTGCCTGTACAGTGGTGCCTCGACTTACAACCGTCTTGACTTGCAAGCAATTTGAGTTACAACCAGCTCCGGTTGCAACATTTTGCTTTTTCTTGCAACCGGCGCTTTGAGATACAACCAGAAAAAAAGGCTTTCCTCTTTTCCCCACTGTTCCCTCCCTGCCTCCTTTCCTGCCCCCTTTTTAACCTACCGTATTTTTCCGTATAATTCTATACTTTTGTCTAAAATTTTTAGACTAAAAATTGAGGGTCGTCTTATACGCAGAAGTAAGCTGAGAGAGAGAAAAACAAGTGGAGGGGAACGCAGGGATCAAATTGTTCCTGCAGGGCTTTGATCCCTGCTTTCCCCTCCACTTGCTAATCCTTAGCAAAAGGAAAGCAGGGATCAAAGCACTGCAGGATCACTTTGATCCATGCTTTCCCCTCTGCTTGCTAAGACCCATGAGACTTAACAAAAGGAGGTGGGAAAGAATCAAAGCAATCCAGTGGCTTTATAAGGGGGAAAGGGATCAAAATGATTGTGCAGTTACAGGATTGCTTTGATCCCTTTCTCCGTCCTTTTGCTAAGCCCCGTGGTGCTTAGCACGAAGGGAGAAAACAGGGATCCAAGTGATCCTGCAGTTCTTTGATCCCTACACTTGCTAAGCCCCACTAAGATTTCTTAATTTTGGGTTAGAAAAGTGCGGGGCATCTTATACATGCGTCTTATAGATGGAAAAATACGGTAAGTCATCTTAGTTTAATAGAAGAAAAATTCTCCCCCTAGTGGTAGAGGACGGATTAACCAGTTTTGCATTTGTTCCTATGGGAACTAATGCTTCAACTTGCAACCAGCGCCTCTAGATACAACCAAAAACAGCTGGAACGGATTAATTGAGTTTAAATGCATTTCAATGGGAAATGCTGATTCGACTTACAACCATTTCGACTTATGACCATCTTCTGGAATGGACTGTGGTTATAAGTCAAGGCACTACTGTACTTCGTATTGGCATCCATACATTTTTACTCAATAATAAATCTTTTTAATGGCAACATCACCATTCCATATCAGTAACTGCATTATGTCTTCAACAAATTCTCTGCTGCAGGGTAAGGCTTCATTTTAAAAAATGGCCATTGTAAAATAAAGCAAAAAACTCTCAGGTATTCTTTAAGACAGTGGTCTACAACCTTTTCCAAACCACGGACCAGTTGGGGTCCGTGAGTAGGGGGGCACCAATGCATGCATGCACGGGGCAACAGTGCACGGGTGGGCGGGGCACCCATGCGTGCATGTGTGTGTGCATGCGTGCGTGGAGGGGTGTGTGAAGGGGTCGGAGATCTGTCTCTACTGCCCGGTCCTGCCAAGGCCACACCCCGGTACTGGGCCGCAACCGGGGGTTGGGGACCCCAGCTTTAACATATTCTTTCTGGTTATTCTACACATTATAGCTTCAAAACGTCAAGGCATTAAAAAGCCTCCAAATTTACACTACTATATGAATCCAGGTTCTTTTCGTTGTGAGACATCACTATCAAAAGTGATACAGATTTAGGAACACTATCACATACACTCTAACCCTTAAAGCTAAAATCTTATAAATGTTCAAAGGACATGGTTACGGCACACCTCAACAATTGTACTGAACCCTTCTTTGACTTGCCCATGAGCAATCAGAAAGCAAAGCAACACAACTAGTAAGTGGTGAGAAGTCTGAAAAGTTCTTGTTGTGACAATCTGATGTCTTGCAGCACTTAAGGAACTTCATCCAACTTCTTCAGGGTGAGACATTACAACCACCAGTGAAACAGATTTAGGAACACTATCACACGACAGACATTTGCATGATGGCTGCATAGAAGTTAGATTCCATCTAAGGTTGCCAGGTCAGCTGATTTCCACTCCTGGAATTTGAGGTGGAAAATCTTAGAAACAGGGAAGGACCAATATAATGTCACAAGGGCAGGTCCTTGCAGTGATAAACGGTGGTGCCTTCAGTAAACTGCTCTCATTTATTTCTGCTCCTAATGGAGCCCAAGCTCTGATGTCTTCAAAACAAAGCAAATCTTGCATCTTTGAGCCAGTTTCTACCAGCCTCTCAAGGTTGCTCTCTGGGTAACTTTAGTGGAGGAGCCACATATACCATGTTCACTGCCAGAATTATGAGGTATGAATGTAAACAGCAGTAATAAATTATTCCTATCTGTTATGGAGTCCATAGGCAGAATTTTCTCACTACCATCTATTGCAAAATGTCACCCATAAAATTAAAATAAATGTCAGTCCAACTTCTCTAATCTTGCCAGGAATCCAGCACATCAACATACCAGTTGCCAAAACATAAATCCCAGACCCGCTTCATTTAAAATGTTGACATTTTGGGAGAAGATGCTTCCCTGCAAGGCAAATCCAGAAGAAGCCATTTTATCCCCATTGTGAAACATGGCGTTCACAGACCAGCCTCAATGACTTCAGGGTTTAAAATATAAATCAGGAATAAAGATTCACATTAATACTTTGAGTAACCCTTGTACACTGAAGTTTAAAATGAAACCAATCCACTCAAAACATGTTCTATCACAAAGCACTTCCTCCTGCAGTCTAGAGGGAAGGAGAAAATGGAGAACTTTTGCTTTGCCCTAGATATATTTGGCAGCTTGGCATTTTAGACTTACACAAAAAGATTACTTTTCCAAAGCAAATCTAAATGAGAGGCATATGTCAGCAGCGTCCTAACTGGATAAGGGAACCACAAGAAAACTGTTGTCTATAGCTGCCAGGCAGGGGAAGCAGAGCTTTAGCATAACTAAAGTCAGCAATTCCTTGAGTAAAAAAAACATGCTGCCTCCCCCATCAAATTCACTGTCCAACTTAATCTTTGTTTAACTCTGGCAGTAGATGCACCTTTGTAATTTTGGATGGAGGCTACAAAAGAGATGCCAGCTGAGTAGACAAAGTCAGCAATTCCTTGAGTGTCTAGGAAAAAGTAGAAGATAAAGGAAAGGAAGCATAAAGTCCCACAGATGCAATTCTTTCCTTTTTTGTTTTTCAAACTTCTTTTCATTTCCCCTCATAAATAAGTTCTAGCTTCTCCCAACTCCAAATCCTCTTCTCTTTCTTTCAGATTTTTCCCCTCTCCCCCCCCTTTATGCTTCCTTTCCTTTATCTTCTACTTTTTCCTAGACCCTCTTCCCTCTCCTGCCAAACACACAGTGCTCTGCTTCTTGGGACTCCATGTTTAGTGATTTTTCATCTTCTCAGTTCTCACACACACTCACACACCTGAGTAGCTCTGATTCCAGAGGCAGCAGTCTCAGCTCTGGTCTGGAGGAAAAAAAGATTATGCAAGGGGGAACATGGGTAAGGCAGGAGGAGCAGATAGTGCATGGCGCACACAGCATAGCTTGCTCTTCCTGGAGAAACCTTTGTCTGTTACTGCTGTCTCCAGTTGAATTGAGGAACCCATAAACCCCGGTTCCCTCCTCTTAGCGAACCTGTATGAGCCACAAGCAACAGTTTTTCACATCTTTCTCTTAAAATCAATCAAAATTCAATTAAACTCAATTAAAACTCAACACTCAAATAAAAGAAAAATCCTGGTTAAAGTGCCAACACCACTAGTGCTAAAACCAATATCTGCATAATTCTAGTTCATGAACTAGAATTATACCTTCTTCCAGCAATCTCCTTAAGCCATTCAAAGACTAAACCATGAAAGCTTTCATGATAAACCACCCTTCTAACTTGTTGTTACCCATTTCATTCCATTTATCAGAGTGGATCAACAAAACACCCCTGAAGATAAAACTACTGTAGGCGTTTCTCAATTCCAAGCATGCAATATTTAACTTCTCTATTAACTTTTGATTGCATTTAAAAGTTTAATTGGATGATACATTTTAAAAGTTTTTTTAAAATGAATGACTACTTCCCTCTTGCTGGTATCATCTTAGAACACACATTTACCTGTGCACTGGACAAAAATGCCATTCCTCAAGTTGGCATCTACTTTGTGCATCACCTAAAATTAAACATTTCCCTACCAGATCTGGAAATGCTGCTTTATAAATATGGAAATATGCACAGATGCAATTAGTCAGTTAAAACTCACATGATAATCAACTAGCATGTGTTTTATTAGAGAACTACTTTATTCATTTTACTTGTCAATTAATCTTCACTGGAATACAAACTGAAACCCTGAAGTATCATCACTTCATTATTATTTGTCAAAAAGAAAAACATTTCATAATAAAAGTTGCTATGCTATAAAAATTTTAAAAATTAATCCACTGAGAAAAGAAGCAGTGTAGGAAGTGACTGGTATGGAAGTGACTGGTATCTATACCTATGTTCTTTGTGTTCCAGTAACTGACAGTCTCTGCATGTCAGTCTGTCGCAGGTTTCACAGAAAAGTTTTAATTGCTCTTGTTTGTGCACAGGACAAAATACAGGACGTTGACCAGATGCTCCAACAGCTTCTGTGTTAAAAACAGACAGACAGATTTAGTATTACAAAATACATGAAACTCTGAGTTAGTCTGAAGACCAAAATGCAGCTCTGTGGATAGCTTAGGGAGATGGAGCACAGTGCTGCAGAGCCAGGGTTGGGAATTTGATTCCCTAATGTGCCTTATAGAAGAACCAGCCTGTGTGGTCTTGAGCGACCTTCACAGTCTCAGAGTGGCCCCTGAAGAAGGGAAAAGTACACCACTTCTGAGTACAGTACACGTATACACTTCTGAGTACAGTATACCTATCTGGAAACAGCTACCATAAGTTGGAATCCACCAGATGACATGCAATTATTATAATTACAGACCGAAAATACTAGACAACAGACCAGAACTGACAGTGGGCCAATTTTGATACAGAGGCACATATCCCTGGCTTGGAACAGCACAAAGCTCCACCCATTTTTATTTTTTTTTTATTTTTGCTTCTTTCAGCTAGAACTGCATTCTGTCTCCCAGTGAGTGTAATATGGATAAAATCTCCAATTCTGAATGGAAGCAGATCTTTGGTTGAAGTTTATACACTCCCTCCTCCAAAAAAATGTTGTACTCTGAAAATGACTTCAAAATAAACCTGTTACCTTTGGTACTCTCATCTCAAAAATATTGTTGCATGCATCTATATGTCATTATCAAGATATATGGTGTCTTAGCATAACAACTGAAAGATCAATTTTTGTTCTGTGGGCCACTATATCTAAATGTTCACACTAAAGAGGCATTAGAAGGAAGCAGAGGCAAATAAATAGTGGGGGGAAATTTGTCCAGTTACTGTACGTAACACACATTTAGGCTGAATTTTACTACTGGGAAAAGGTCAGATGCAAAAAAAAAAAAACAAACAAACAAACAAAACAAAAAACAAACAAACTTCACAATATATGAAAGGTTAAGCCTCATAGCATAGAGGTTAAACTGCAGTACTGCAGTCAGGATTCTGCTCATGGCCTGAGTTAAATCTCAACAGGCTCAGGTAGCTGGCTCAAGGTTGACTTAGCATTCCATCCTTCCATTGAGCAGTCTGTTAATATGAAGATTCATCCATAAAATTAAACATTTATTTTCCAATGAAGTAAAAAAAGTGCATGCAGTTCATCAACTTTTCTTTAGGAAAACAAAAGAAAAAAATTAATGCCACAGATTTTCAGCCTACTGTAATATTTAGCTATAACTATATTTGATAATCAGGGCTTGAAAATTTTTAGAATGTTTCACCAGTCAGTCAAAAATTTCTCCAGTCAGCATGACCGGAATATAGCCTTGCAATTTATTGGGATTGGGAATCACTGATTTATACCCCCAGACTTGTGTTGCTTTATTACCTGCGTCCCTGTGGGGTCATGAAGCTTGTATTTTGAATGCCTTTCTTTTGAATGTCTCCAAAAATAAAATTAAAAGCAAACGTGTCCGGCCTCTTAAGAAGCCACGGTTCCCTCCTACCCCAGGATGTGTCCTCGTTCGGTTGAAATAGGGAGCAGGGAATCTCCATATTTTCCAGCATGGGACTACTCTACATTCTCCTGCAGAACTATACAGTATCTCTATGTGCCGCTCAAACTCTCTTCGCGTGAGAAGGGGGAGGGGAGGACTGCAGGATTAGAGAGATAGAGAGACAGGCGGAGGGGAAGGAGGCAGGCAGGGAGGGAGCTGTGACTTGTCGAGCAGCATTTTTTCACTCATCACAGACAAATGGATGAGTGTATTTTTCAAACCCTGTTGATAATAATGTATTAAATGCAATGTTAGAAACAGATTCACCTGAAGAGACATCTTCTTTCTTTCTGATCATATGATCCTTAGTAAATTTTACTCTTTGATGGGCTTCTATGCATGTTTTGCACAGCCATTCTCCACATTCCACACAGAAACCAACTGCACTAGAATTATCTTCACAGCTGGTACACACCTAAAAGCAGGGGAGAAATTCAAATACTGAAGCTTTGACATCAGAATTCGGAAATTACCAAAACCTATATCCCCCCCAAGGTGAAAAACAAATCATATTGCAAGGAGAAAATGTATCATACCTGTTCAGATTTTTCATCAGAGCTGCTGGGTGCTTCAGATGTGTCTTTGACAAAGTAGTTATCTACCAAGTCTATTTGCCTGCATTCCTGGCGACAGATTGGACACCTGATCACACCAACTGCAACCAAAAGAGGACACTTCTTACAGTTCTCTGGATTGCCAAACCTTCATATGCTTTTAAGCAACTTCATAATAGGCATTTCTAATGAAATCATAAACTAAGTCCATCAACACAATGTCTCCAGAGATAACAACGTAAGATTACTTTCTTCTCCAGTGACACATACAATAATACATTTTATCTTGAGAATAACAGGGAAGTAACCAGGGTTGGACCTCTAGGATGGTAAAATCTAATTGAATCAAAAGGAATCCCTTGTCTTCACAGCAAGCCCTTCCCCCAATATACAGTAGAACCACAGTATCTATGAGGTTTGGCCCCAACCCCCACCCCTGTGGATGTTGAAAAAAAATGAAAGTATCTAATACTATACACTGCATGGTCTCTGGCTCCCTCTAGTGAACAGTTCTGGTAAATACACTCTAGAAATATACAGTGGTGCCTCGCTTAGCGATCGCTCCGTTGAGCGACGAAATTGCTTAGCGACGGAGTTTTTGCGATCGCAAAAGCGATCGCTTTGCGATGGGCCCTATGGGGTTTTTTCGCTTTGCGATGATCGCGGGGAAGCAATCATGGCAAATCAACCCTGTTTAAACAGCTGATTGGCGGTTTCAAAATGGCCACCCGCTGTGTTTCCTCACTTTAGAGGCGCCAAAAATACCCGCCCTTATGGAGGATCTTCGCTTAAAGGGTAGTTTTTAACCCTTAGGAATGCATTAATCGCGTGTTAATGCGTTTCTATGGGCTTTTTAATATTGCTTAGCGATGAAATCGCTTAGCAACGTCTTTTCCGGAACGGATTAATGTTGCTAAGCGAGGCACCACTGTATATAAATACTGTACGTATTTCTTGCGGGGAGTATTTAGTATTTTCATGAAACAGGTAAATGAATCAGTGGATACTATTCCCATGAATAGGGAAGTCCTACTGGACTTCTGAAAGGAGCTCTGAAGAGCTGGGAAATTCCTTGGATGTGTTTTTAAAATGGTGTATAGGAGTGTGTTGGTAAAGAAAAAAATTCTTTTTAGATCACTAGCATAGCACCAAATTTAGTCGAGAGACCAAACAAATTCCTATGAGTCATGTTGATTTTTCTAAGTGCTTCAACAACCAAGCAATTAAGCTTTTTCCCAGAACCACTAAGTATTCCATAAGCAGTCATAAGTGTTAACTTTGCAACTGTAAGGGATCCTATTTTGCTTCATAAAATGGAGTAACACAAGAACTAAAGATGGGGGGGCACGTTATATTATTTACATAGAACTCTCTTGTATTTTTTCAGGAATCCTCTGCACTTAATAGGTTAGATCCAAATTAATCTGACCTAAGTCCCATTGAAAGCAGTGAAAGCCCAGATACAAACTATTATCACTGTGTTACTAAAAAACTGCAGGCACATCATCACATGGTGATTTGCTCCTGAGGAACACTGATAGTAAGTCAGAACTTCCTTAATTATAATTTATCTAGGCAAGATGTGGCATTGAATGTACATGACATCTCTCAATGTCATCCTAGGCAACTATTTGTATAAACACTTTTTAAAAAATAAGAACACTGATAAATTTTTTCCTTGGACACTGTCTTTTTATTTCATTATACAGTATATATTAATAAGTTCAACCATACAGTTCTGCGCATATTACTACTTCAATTTGCACAGCACAAATGATTTTTCCAAAGGACAAAAAAGTTATATCTGCTTTCATCTAAAGGAAACCATAGCTTTAAATAGATTGGAGGCTATCGGAGCTTACTAATGTCAGAATGTTTATAAAAAATAATCCTTTGGAAGTTTATGACAAATGTTAATTATAAACTGTCATCTTCTGTCCCACCCCCCATAATCATCTTCCATTCCACCACCCCCAACCATAATCCATACACATATAAGCCTGTGGCTTACACTCCATGTATCTGAAGAAATGGACTTTGTTGATGAAAGCTGATACCAAAAACAAAAGCTATTACTTCTGAAGGCTCCACAAAGGAACTCTGCTGAAATTTCTTTAAAGTTTTCATAAATAAGGCAATACTTTCAAGCTGCATAAAACTTATTTCATTTTTTAAAAATGCACAAGCTTTCGTCTGAGGAGTTTACCGCATACACCAATGTAGCCTGTATCTGAAGCAATCAATAACTGCATCTCACTCTTTTTAATAAGAGAAAAAATATTATAAAGTAGGGGAATTGCAACCAGTAGTTCAATGTTGCTGAACTCTAGCTTCTTTCATCTTGGGCCACTGGCCATGCTGGATATAACACTGATAGAAACTGCAGTTCAACAACATCTGGTGGGGCTGTCAGGGATAAAAATCAATTTAAATCACAATTTAAATTTTAAAAATCAAAATTTAATAATCAAAAACCCATTTTTTTATTTAAATTGATTTGATTTAAACCAAATTCATCCTGGGGGCTGTCCTTGTTTATTAAAGAATAAATCATTTTATTCTTCTAATCTTAGTAAGCTCTCAATAGGGCATTGCTTGGGTCACCTGCAGACTGTAGTTAAGAAAGCATTTCACATAGGGATGCACAGGGCTGTACTGCACAGTTGGGGAAGATCATATGTGCACATGTCATTACCTAAATTGAGGGCTATGTACAGTATTATTTCTGCCATTCTTTGCATGTGGAGAAAACAAAGAACACCTAATTGGGAACATAATTGAACCTTTCTTATAAAGTCAGCTCCAGGTTTAAGTGCCCTCTAGCAGATCCACTCCTGCACAAGGAACACTTCTAATTGGCCTCACTCCAAACTTAAATAGCAACTCACAGAACCAGCCACACAGTACTGATCAAATATGACATCTACAAGACACCTTCCCACCAATTCTGGATGCTCATATGGAGCTGAGGAGAGATAACACAAAATTATATCAAAAACATATTGTAAAAGATCATCTACCTATCAATTTAAGTGCTACAATGTAAACAGACATTTAAGGAATATTAAACATCTTCTTTCAATAAGTGAACTATGAACTAAGTACTTAATGATACAGGTAGCTACAGTGATGCCATCAAATACTAAGAAACAGGTAAAGTGTATTTTAATTAAACTAGCTTTTCTTAGAGCAAAAATGTGAGCTTTCAAGTTATATAACAACAGCACAAGGTCAAAGGCAATTCTCAAAATATACGTAAAAAAATAGTACACATGTATGATTGAAATCGTGAAGGCAAGAATATTTTCTCATGCTAGAGGAAATTTAATGGGAGAAGAACACCAGAGGAATAGAGGTGAGGAAAGGAAGCAACAGTTATAGGACAGAAGTGGTATTTCCTAGCTGAGGAATGTAAGGACGACACATTCCTAGATCAGCATTCCAGTTCTCATAGGCGCCAACAATATGGCTTCACAAAGTTCAGAAACAAAACACAAACACAAAAATACTTCCCAGTTTTGCTCTCCAACACCTGTTGCTCATTGGCATTCTCTGTCTGAACAAGGAGATACCTTTTCGCCACAAATAGGCTTAATCTACGTGAATTAGTCTTAAATCCCTATTAATGCCATTTAAGCTAGTGGCCATCACCACATCTTGCAACACTGGATTCATAGCCATTACTTTATCTTCTGACAATGAATTAAGTCAATCATGTGCTGTACACAGATATCCTCTTTATTCATACCTATCAGGAATATAATATTTTGCCTAGATATGCTCTTCACATCATGTGTAAATATATAAGCTTCTATATACAACAACCAACCATCCCTCAGCTACCACAAGCTTCCTTCCCAGAAGTTGTCCATCACATTCAAACCAATGTCAAGAGGGATCTTTCACTTCACAGATTGCTACAGAAACAGTGACTGACACTGCACCTACCTTGTTCAAGTTGTACAGTTCTGTAAAAAGTGAGATGAAAGCCAACCCCAAATCATACAGCATGGGCAGAAGGCTCATGGAGAGAGAGCTCTTCTATCAATTTGCACCATACTGTAGAAAACGAAAGAAATGACATTTGTTTTTCTTCCTATTTCCTCAGAACAGTTTGAAGAGAAAGAGGAGTCTCTTCACATAAGACAGATGGGGGGGGGAGAAATAAAACATCTGCAAGACACCTTTCCACCAATTCTGTAGAGATATGGAACCTCTTCTCATTATACATTATACTCATCTCATTACATTTTCTGCAAAAATCCACTGTAATGTAAGGTTCTCATCTCTCTGAAAACTAGAAGAAAATGAGAAACTATCTCTTCTAACATTTTCTACATCAAACACACAAACTCAGGGAAAAGAGAGTAGTTGGGCTTGGCAAAAGTAGTAACTAGTCATTAAGACTAGCTAAAATACATGGAGAGCATTCAAAAATTATTATTTCAATAACCATATAGGTTTTATATTTGGTTAATGTCACATCACTCACAGGACCAGGATGTTGTCAGAAGCATCCTTTGTAGAGGGGAAAAAAACCTACAAATTCAACTGTAGTGAGCCATCTGTTCACATGTATCAGTTCAGTCCAAACCATTAGATAATGTCACCCTAGTATATATTACAGCTGGAGTCCTCAACCCCAGAACGTGGCCCGGTGTCGTGACGTGGCCTTGGCAGGACCAGGCCACAGAGACAGATCTTCCACCGCCCCCCATGCGCACCGACCCACATGCACGGGTGCCACACACATCCTCTGTGCGCCCTGCCCATCTGCACATGCACACGAGCGTGCCTCACGCATCCCTGTGCATACGTGCCCCACTCACACATGCACATTAGTGTGCTACGCCCACCCACGAGCATGGTCCACACATCCGCTCATGTGCACAAGCACACTTCTGCCCACCAATGCATGTGCACACCCCACACGCCCCTGAGCGGGGGGTGTCATGCCCTCCCACACACTGACCCCATCCCACAACTCCAACCAGTCCGCAGTTTAGAAAAGGTTGGGGACCACTGTATTACAGCATCTATTTAGTCTCAGTTCTGCTACCCCTTTTAACTTTGGGGTCTCATCTATAAAACTGGAGAGAAA